CTTATATATATATATATATAATTTAAAAAATAGTAAAAAAAATTATTAAAATACATCTAAAAAAGAAAAGAAAAAAGAAAATATAAAAGGAAAAATAACTAAAGGAAAAAAATGTAAAAAAAAAAGGTAGAAGAAATAAAATGAATTATAAAATAATTTTTTTAAAAAAATGGGAAAAATAAATCTGGGGAAAAAATAATTAATAAACACGAGATTTTTTTACAAATAATCCAAAATAAGTGAAGGGAAAAAATGTAGAAAAACGCAAAAAAAAATGAATTACAAAATAATTTTTTTTAAGAAACTAGTAAAATAAATCTGGAGAAAAAAAATGACCCAATGACTCAAAAAAATAAAAATTTTGAAAAGAAAAAAACTAATAGAGACTTTTTGTCGCTACTGCCGATAAAAAAAAAAAAAAACTGAGGTCGCTATGGGCCATAGCGACATTGTCCATAGCGACCTTGTGTCGATATGGCCCATAGCAACTATAGATAATCCAAAAAAAACTGAGGTCACTTATAGGCCATAGCATCATCCTTTTTTTTTTTTTACTTTTCAACATTTAATGTATCATTTTTAAAAAATTTTATTTTATACTTCTTTTTTTTCTTCATTTTTTTTACATTTTTGTCTTCACTTATTTTTTTCTTTTATATTTTATATATTTTTTAAATCAATTTTATATATTTTTTATGGATTACTAGAGGCTCTAGGGCCTACAACGACCTTGTGTCACTATGGGATATAACGACCTCCTTTTTTTTTTTTAACTGTTTCTACATTTATTTTAAATATTTTTATTTTATACTTCTTTTTTTTTTCATTTTTCTTACATTTTTTTTCCTTCAGATAATTTTATCTTTTATATTTTTCCTTTTTTTTCTGTTCCACATGTATTTTTCTCCACATTTATTTTGTCATTTTTTAAAATTTTTTATTTTAACATTCATTTTTTTTCTTTTCCAATTTTTTTATATTATTGCGCTTCAGTTATTTTTTTTATAAAAATATTTAATTTTTTTTATAAATTATAATTATACACTATAAAAAAATTAAATAAATCATATTTTTTAAACATATTATATACTAAAATTTTAAATAATTTTTTTAATAAAATGAAATTAATTGGTGTCGCCATAGGTTATAGCAACTTTTATGAAGTCGTTTTGTGTCGTTATAGACTATAGCTATACGTGACACCCTCTACCCCAATATTAATACACAATAAATGTAAATAATAATTTTTTTTTCTTTTTAAGTAAATAAAATATTTCATAGTTGATAACATCTTTCATGTATAAAACAAATGTCTCAAATATCATAACATAGAAGGTGCACATTTGTAGCTCATAAATCATAAAAAGTCAACATGTAAATATCAAAACTCAAGAAATCATAAAAAATAATAAAGGAAATATAGATTAATTCCAGTAAAGGTGGTAGTGCCTCCTAGTTAGGAATTAATTTATAACTTCCAAATCATGTAATAAAAATATAACAAAGATGCACACTTTGACCTTTTATCAAGAACATTCAAAATTACAATTCTCCACATACACTTTCCTTGGATTCAATCACTGCAACTATAGACTTTATTTGTGTCATACCTTCGCTAGAAATTACCAAAAGAAAAGAAACCAAGGTTTTCAAAACAATAACATCCTAAACTAAGTCTAGTTATGCCCCGATGTCACATATCCTATCAGAGCATGCCCAACTGAAACCTTAAGCCTCATCACCAACATCCCCATGATGATGATCACCTGCAACACAATTTAAACATGTACAAGAATAACAAGGGAGTGAGAAATATCTCACTCGGTTCCAGGTGCAGAAATAAAGGTTAGATAGCACACACACACACAACAAACATAAGTCACATGTAAACAATACACATATACAATCAATATCACATATACACTCATTTATCATGCAATGATGTCATAGACTCGACTCATAAATGCATGCATGTGGCGCCATATGGAAGTTTCACATTTCTCATAGCTTGTTACATCACTGGTGACCTTAAGGTACACCTTGTTAGCTTGTTACATCAATGGTGACCCTAAGGTACACCTTGTTAGCTTGTTATATCACTGGTGACCCTAAGGTACACCTTGTTAACTGGTTACATCACTAGTGACCCTAAGGTACACCTAAAATATTTCAGTACATCACTGGTATGCGGCCTAAGCGGCACACCTGGATAAGTCATTTCATCACATAGCTTGTTACATCACTGGTATGCGGCATAACCGGCACACCTGGAGTTATATATATATATGATGCATGTCATACATTCACTATTTTATTGACTCAACATTTCACTTATTACGAAATTTCATTTATTACCTCATGTCATCATTTTCATATTCTCATAGTCATGGCTTATCTCAATAGTTCATTCTTATGTCTCATGTCATTTGTTCATATTTCACATAGTCAAGTCATAATTATTCCTCATAAGGTCTGAACAGGAATTTACAGAGCACTCTTATTCATATTAAAACTTATTTATTTTCAAAATTAATCACATATTTATTCATCATTTCTAACAAGGAACACAACAGAGTAATCAGAAAGTAAAATAGAACACATTCATGTTCCTAGAAACATACATTAGGCAAGGGATTGGGGCCAATCCGACTACCCAACAATTATTCCCACACCCCCGAGCGAGGTTTCTCACTCCCCCCTTACCTCGATAAGTAAGAGCTAAAACTAGAGCAAAACCTTGCTAATCTGCTCCCCTGGATTCCCTTTTTCTTTCTCTCTCTTTCTTTCTCTCTCTCTCTCTCTCTCTCTCTCTCTTTTTCTCTCTCTAAGTTTTTACCTTCGTCAGTTACAATTTTTTGCACAGCCCCTCCCTCCTATTTATAGGAATTCAGGGGTACCCGGAACGACCCATTCTGAATCTGGAATGGCTCGTTCTAGAGCCATTCGTTATGTGCAAATTTATCACTGAAATGGCCCGTTCTCAACACCAAAACGACCCGTTCTTAAACCAGAACGTCCCGTTCTAGGGTTGATATATTAACACACATTGACCATAATTGAAACGACCTGTTTCCAACTAAGGTTTTTAGACCATTTTATTTGTCTAGAACGGCCCGTTCCACTTTTTGGAACACCCGTTCTGCTTATGGGAACGGCTCGTTCCGCTTTTTGGAATGGCCCGTTCTAGGCCTAAAAAATAAAATAAAATAAAATAAAATTTTATATAAATTTTTTTAAAAAATCTCTAAAATGTTCTATAAAATTTCATTAAATAAGCTCCATAAATATAAAATAATAATAATTAACGATGTAGAAGATTCGGGATGTTACAATAGCGACTTTATATGAAGCACTACCGGCTGTAGCGACTTTAATAATATGGCGTTCATGACTTCAAAAAAAAAATTACACGTGACACTAGTGTCGCTATGGACCATAGCGACATTGTAGTAAAGTGTCCCAAAGGCGTAAATAGTTTCAAAAGACTACAAGGACACTGAATATGTCATATGCTTCCTCAAGGGTCTTAATGATCAATACAACACTATCAAGAGTCAAATTCTTATTATAGATCTTTTTCCTATGATCAACAAAGTTTTTTCTTTAGTATTACAACAAGAAAGACAGCAAAACACACCCAATTTTGTAGACTCAAGAAACTTAAGCCTCAACACACAATTTGGGGGGAATTGGAGATCTTCTTTTAATGGTAGAGGAGGAAGCTCAAGAGGAAGAGGAAGTACAGGTGGTCGAGGATCTTTCACCAATGCAGGGAAGGTCTGCACCTTCTGTGGTAACAGAAAATCATACCATAGACTCTTGCTACTTTAAACATGGATTCCCTCTCAATTTCAAATTCAAGAACAAAGGGAACTCTACTTCCCTAAACACTATCAGCAATAAGGCTGCCAATACCCAAGCTAGTGAGATTTCAGGAAAGCAAAACAAAGAGTCCACCTCAAATTTTACCTATGAAGATTATGATCACCTCATTGACATGCTAAAAAGGGCTAAGTTGCAATCACCAGAACATAGCATTAATCAACTTGTCCATCAAACCACTACTAAATCAGTAAATTCTTCCAACTCGCAGCAAAATCAACTAGGTAACCCTTTGGAACACACTAATTGGATTCTTGACACTGGAGCTACTGATCATGTTTTTAATTTGTTATATTTTTTTTACTAAATATCATCCTATAAATCTTGTTCATGTTAAACTGCCTAATGGAATTACCTCCACAGCTCAATTTTTTGGGACCATTATTTTCTTTGAAAAGTTTTTCCTTAATGATGTTCTTTACATACCCAACTTTCATCTCAACATCATATCTGTGCAAAGGATTGCTGCCTCCTTAGATTATGAACTCATATTTAACAAGAATTCTTGCATCATACAGGACCTCACTTCCAAGAAGATGATTGGACTTGCTGAGGTCAAAAATCACCTTTACATTCTACAACATTCTTCCAAGGATAATTTTGTTTCAGCTTATAAATCTAATTCTGTTTTGAATGCTTAACCAAAGACCACTACTTCTTCTTTTGATATTTGGCGCTATAGGCTTGGTCACCCTTCTCATGTTGTTTTACAAACTGTGAAAGACATTTTCCTTATGTGACTTACAATAAAAAGTTACTTGTGATTACTGTCATTTTGGCAAGCAAGCTAGATTACCTTTTCCTACTAGCACTACTAAAAGTTTATCTTGCTTTGATCTTGTTCATATGAATATTTGGGGCCCCTTGTTATTCCCTCTATACATGGTCATAAGTATTTTCTTACTGTTGTAGATGGCTATTCTAGGCATACTTGGATTTATTTCATGAAATCAAAAAGTGAAACCAGAAATCTGATTCAAAACTTCATTTCCTATATCCAAACTCAATTTACTAAACACATTAAGGTAATAAGATATGATAATGGTGCTGAATTTGCAATAGATCAACTTTATGCTACCTATGGGATTGTTCATCAAACCTCTTGTCTTGAAACTCCACAATAAAATTTTTTTGTGGAAAGAAAACATAGACACATTCTAAACATAACTAGAACTCTTCTTTTCCATTCTAATGTTCCTAAATATTTTTGGTGCTATGTTGTTAGTCATGCTATTCACTTGATAAATAGGCTTCCGTCACCTGTACGTTTTAAATGATTCTTCACCTTATCAAATTTTGTATGATAGACCACCTACATTATTAGACTTAAAGGTGTTTGGTAGCTTATGTTATGCTAACACTTTGGTTCAAGGCAGATCCAAATTGGATCCTAGAGCCACTAAAGGAGTCTATCTTGGTGTCAAACAAGGCACTAAGGGTTTTTTGGTTCTTGATTTCTTAACCAGAAACATTTTTGTTTCTAGAAATGTTGTCTTTTATGAACATATATTTCCCCTTTTTGAAAAAGGTTCTACTGTTACCACTAATTCACAACAACAAAATGATGCTAGCTTTGATTTTCTATACTTTGATTCTGCTCATTATGAAAATTATCTTAATGACATTGATGAATCTGCTCACCCCTCTAAAACATCATCTCCTTCACAACTAAGGAAATCTACTAGACATAAATGTCCTCCTGCTTATCTCAAGGACTATCATTGCAACTTGCTGATTAGTGTGCCACCACCAAAAGATAAACAGATCAGGTACCCTCTTAATTCTATTCTGTCCTATGATTCCCTTTCAGCTTCATATTCTAGGTATGCTCTCTCAATCACTATCCATGTTGAACCTCATACTTTTAATCAAGCTGTTAAAAATAAGGTGTGGGTTAAAGCCATGTAAGTTGAACTTGATGCCCTTGAACACAATAAAACTTGGACTATTATGCCTTTACCTCCTGGAAAGACACCCATTGGTTCCAAATGGGTATATAAAATTAAGTACAAATATGATGGCTCAATTGAAAGGTATAAGACTCAGTTGGTTGTAAAAGGGTATACTCAAATCCAAGGTTTAGACTATTTTGATACTTTTTCCCCGGTTGCAAAATTAAGCACTGTTAGAATGTTACTTGTTATTGTTTCCTGTCAACATTGGGAACTTCATCAACTTGATATTAATAATGTTTTTCTTCATGGGGATTTTCTTGAGGAAGTTTACATGGAGATACCCCAAGGTCTTAACATTTATAAACCAAATCATGTTTGTAAACTCAATAAATCCCTTTATGGTTTGAAGCAAGGTAGCAGACAATGGTTTGCTAAACTTTCTTCATTTTTATTGTCCTTACATTACAATCAATCTCAACATGACCATTCTCTCTTCACTAAACATCATGTTACTCGTTTTACTCATTTTTACTGTGATTTTAATCTATGTAGATGATCTTATCATTGTTGGAGTAGATTATGATGAAATCAATCACATTAAACAATCTTTAGATGTCAAATTCAAAATTAAAGATCTTGGTCCTTTAAGATATTTTCTTGGTTTGGAAATTGCTAGGTCCCATCTTGGCATTTCCCTTTCTCAACGGAAATACACGTTAGACTTACTTGATGAAACTGGCTTTCTTATAGGTAAACCAATTCTTACTCCCATGATAAATCATGGGTATGAGAAAACCTTTTATGATCATTGTGTATTTGTGAAGAAATTTTTAGACGAAAAATTTGTTATTCTTTTGCTTTATGTGGATTACATGTTAATTGTTGATCATAACATGAGAAAAATTCAAAATATCAAAAGAAAGTTGAACAAGTCCTTTTCAATGAAGGACTTAGGTCCTGTATGGAAAATTCTTGGCATGAAGATTATCCGTGATAAGAAGAACGACAAATTATGGTTATTACAACAAAAGTACATTGAGAAGGTATTGGGGAGATTTAGTATGGGCAATTCCAAGTCTATTAGCACTCCATTTGCAAGTCACTTCAAGTTAAGCTCTAAGAAAAGTCCTACAACTGAGAAAGATAAAGAAGAAATGCAGAAGAATCTGTATGCATATGCAGTTGGTAGCTTGATGTATCCAATGGTATGTACAAGACCAAATATTGCTCATGTTGTTGGAATAGTTAGTTGTTTTGTCTCTGTCCAGGTAAAGAACATTGACAAATTGTGAAATGGATACTTAGGTATCTCATAGGTACTTCTAGAGTCTATTTGTTTTTCGAAAGTGGTGAGTCTATGTTGAATTGTTACACAGATGCAGAAATGGCTGGTGATGTGGATTCTAGGAATCTTGCTTCTAGTTATATGATGACTTTTGTAGGGGGAGCAATATCATGGCAACCCAGATTACAGAAATGTGTTGCTCTATCTTCTATAGAGACAGAATATATAGCTATAAAAAAAAAAGCTTTCAAGAAGCTCTTGTGGATGCAAAAATTTCTACAAGAGTTGGGACTTTCACAAGAAAAACATGTTTTGTATTGTAATAATCAAAGTGCAATCCATCTCAGCAAGAACTCGACTTTTCATTCAAGGTTGAAACATATTGAGGTTCGATATCATTGAATACATGATGCATTGGAGATGAAACAATTATCATTAGAGAAAATTTAGACTGAAGAAAATGGCTCATATGTGATGATGACAAAGAACTTACCTATAGGAAATTTTGCTATTTTCAAAGAGTAGACAGATTTGGTTGACTATGGCACCAATTAATTAGTAAGGGGAAGATTTGTTAAGTAGGTCACTAATTTATTTGCGCTCACGTTGTCTTTAAAAATAATTAAAAAAAAAGTCAAATATGCTAATTGTATTAGCATCAGGTGTAGTGACTCTTGATATGTGAGATGAACCTTTCAGAAGAAGGAGAAATCAGAGTAATGTGTGTCTCTGCATACATTGTACCTCTTTGTGAAATAGAGAGAAGAAAAATTTCGTGAGAAGGAGTGGAGCAACCAACTTAGAGAACAAGTATTTGGTACCAATTTTTGTGCATTTTGGTTCTCTTTATTGTTTGGTTAAATACCCATTTAAGAGTTTTCTTGTATTGTTATTCACAATATTGGTGATGAGCTATTTTTAGTGATCCCTAGCGGCTCTAAGAAGACTTATGGCCTACTCATTGATTATAGTGGTGTTTTTACTAGACTAGGTCCCGTGGGTTTTTACCTCACATCGAGACATCTTGCTGAAATTATCTCGTTGCTTCTTGAACTTATTATTATTTACGCTTAATTGTTGTTATTTGTTATCTTTTTCAATACATACAATGAAGTTGGCTTCTCTTATAGTGTGAGGTAGAGAAGATGTTTTGTTTTGTCAATGCAGTGTGAAGGAAAGGGAAAGAGCTGAAAAGGATCTTTGTGCGTGAATGGTAGATTAGTGAGACTGAGAAAAAAAGAAAATGATGGTGTATATCAAGACTAAAGAGTAGGTGTTTTGTGTCGTGTGTAAGAAAGTCCCCCATATGAGTGTGTTATATATAAAGAGTTAATATAAACAAGCAAAAGAGTGTATAAAAGAAGTTCAAATTGAATCAGAATAAGGGACAATTTAATCATAATATAATGTTACTTTGCCCCTTCCCCTAGCTATGCTATCATCATCCAAAAGTGTGACAAAAGAGAATAAATTTGTTAATAGAACTAGAACGAAATAACTTCCTCTTTAGTCAAAGGAATATTATGGTTGAATTTCAACTTCTTCCATATGCATACGCTCTTTTGCTTGTTGATATTTACTCTTCAGTGATTATTGGTTAATTGCACATTATCACGTCTCGCTTCCCATTTCGAGAAGAATCCAATGAGGACGTGTTGGTTGTGCCGCATGCGCGTGTATTATTTGCTGAGATGAATCTTGTCTATTTGAATAGATTTTTTAAAAAAAATCTGCAAATTAAATTTTTATCAGATGTATATATTTTTTATCAGATGCATCTTATAATTTATTTTTTACTTCAAGTTTTAAACTTACGATTAGATAAATTATATTTTATTGTGCTTTGTTATGATATGGTTGGTGCACGATAATTTAGAAGACATGATTATATTATATGTAAAAGAACTAAAGATGTTTGGTACGAGCAATTAAAGTGCTCATAAGCTGAGTACTCAGCATACATAGGTACCTGTGGTCATATATATTCCGGAGCAGCATAGCAATATGTGACCATTACCTTTGTAATGACCTGTCGGGCCATCCTTTTGCCAAGCCAAAATCAGAAAGTTTTGCAATGTAATTCTGTCACCAACAAAATAGAATGTTTGAAAGCTTGTATGTCTAGTTAAATATAAGATCAAAGAGGTTTAATTTACCTTATACTGAGTCAAGTAAGATAATAGAAGCTTTGAAGTCTCGATATATATCACTTTTTGCTTCATCGCTGTGATGATGTAAGACCTTTTTAGCAGTATCAATGCGGATGTCTCAAGAAAGTGGTTGGAATTGAGGTTTTGAGGCGTAATTAAGTTAGTAAACAATGTCACACCGAATAAACAAATGGGGAAATCAATAACAGAAAATATAGGCAAGAAAAGAAAGGAGAATAAATCTGTCCTGTGACAAGAACCATTACCCTGAAAGTTAAAAAAAAAAAAAAAGAAGGATGAAGTGCACAGAAAATTGTTTGTCTTTAGTCTCATACTTGACTTCTTGTACCTTTTTATAGTGCAAAATCTGATTATAACATTGGTAAATAATTAAAATCTGATTCTCTAAAGCGATTATTAATTGGCTTATTAGTATATAAGGATGGATGATGAAGAGAAATAATCGAGGCCGAGAGAAGAATCCAATATATTCCTATGTGAGTGAGGACGGTGCACTGAAAGAATAAAATGTATTTGTTTGTTTGTTACTAAGTGTTAGTGCGTGTATGCGTTGCAGGGTGATGGTGAAGGAAAAGTGGGGTCCTTTCTGTTTTGTGTCGCCGATTAACAACTTACTCCTAATTAAACAAAGTTGGATGATGCAGCTTCCTTATGTAATTGATTAATTCGTTTTATTTATAAAACAAGGTTGTTCTATATATAAGACAAGGCAAATCAATCACATCAACAGTAGAAATCACCTAACTAAAATATTAACTATTTGATCACCCAATTTGACACTAAATTTCAAAGGATCAGAGCTGATCACCCAAAGAAAAAAGAATTCCATTAAACTAATTTGACGTTTTCCTAATTAAGCTTCAGTATCTTAAATTTTGAGACTCCAAGAAAAGTTCAAATTGTAAATAAGCCCTAAATTACACTCACCAACAATGTGCGATCTGCAACATTAATTAATTTTATTCTGATTAAACTATACACATTTTGTTTGTTTTCATAAACTCTTCAGCAATTGAGTAACCTCACAATATCACGTTTGTTCTGGCAGTACAATTCCTTTTCTTAGGTGCAATTCCTTAATAATATTGTTAACACGTTAAGATCCAAAATAAATAAATTAATCCAAGATAATTACATTCATTTTAGTTTCCTATTTATCAGCCTCATTAGCAGTTTTGCTATTATTTACATTGTTTACTCATAATGTATATATAAATATTTATGGTTGAGTTCATCATACAATTTCAATTTTAATTTTAATACAAATCGATGGAGAGGAAAACTTATTTGCGAATCTGATTCAAAATTAGCAATTGAGCTTTACCCACATTAGAAATTTAGATTGAGAACTTACTTTCCAAGTACGAAAGAGGTAACTGAATTGCTAATTAACTTTATTTCCCCCATCCGTATCACTCTAGCTTGTTTGTTTCTTTAGCTCATGTAATATAAAATTTTTGTTTCTCTTTATTTCATGAAAATATATAATTTTGGTGAAGGCCAAGGTGGTCCAATGCAATAGGTGATTTACATACAACCTTTTCTACCAGTATTTATAATTTTAATTATTGTAAAAATAAAATTACTATTTACACATGTATCCTTTTCAATCACGAAATTTTTGTAACATTCGAAAATCTCTTCATTTCCACCGTGATCTTGTGCCCCATGGAAGAGATCACCATCATTGATATTTGATAATAAATTTTTCATTCAAAATACTTTATGATTCCATTGCATGTACTTGTCTGGCACAACCAATCTCAATCTTCTGTTGAAATGCAACACATTACGACGGCGATATCTCCCCACGAAAGCGCTTATGTTTTGCTCTTAAAACACAATTGCTTTAACTCATAAAAGGCTTACATCACACTTAATAATATGGTAGACTGATGTCGTAGAATGACATTACCAAAAAATAAACTGCAATCCCACATTACTAAAAAAGAATGACATTAAAAAAACAAATGCAATTTCACGAAAGTTTTGTAACTCTTACACACACAAAACACCCGCGAAGGAAAAAGTATCTTTATTTTGCTAGTATATATAATATCAATTGAGAATATTTAAATTTCAATTATAAATGATAAAATATTTAAATCAGAATATACAATAATTTTTTTTTAAATCATTTAGGCAAAATTAATTCAATGATATTAAATTATATTGAAAAATCATTATATATGTCAATAACTCGATAAAATAATAAACATTCTGGTGGGTATATTAACAGATTATTGTAAACATTAACAATCAAGTGGTTATATTAATATATATTATCTTTTTCAAAAAAAATTAATTAAAAATAAAAAAATGAAAATAAATTAAAATAAAAAATACGAGAGGGAAATAGTCAAATAACTAACGAGAATGGGAGTTTAAATAAATAAATAAAATAAAAAAATAAAAAAAAGAGCAAGAGTAATCTACAACAAAAGAAAATAAAATGAATACAAATATCAACAGGTAAGATTTTTAAATGAGGTACTAATTAACAACAACAAAATAAAAGAAAATAAAATGTTTATAAATAGCAGCAATCGGGATATTCGAAATGGGGTGCTAACAAAAAAAAAAAACTTCACTTAAACCTACTTGAGTTAGTTTTTTTTCAAAAGCTCATTATTTTTATTATTCCTTCACTTATTTTTTATGTCTCATTTTCATTCAGGTATATCTAAGGGTTGTAACGTTCCTGCTGGCTTTTGATGTTCTATCTTGGCCTTCTAACAAATCAAACATGTAGCTACATATTGTGCTACTTCCTTTTTCATCTTAGGCCACCAAAACATTCTCTTGAGGTCCTGATACATTTTTGTTGCCCCAGGGTGTATACTCAACTTGCTCTTATGTGCCTCACCTAGAATTATTTTCTTAATTTCTGAATCATTGGGTACACATATCCTATTATTAAATCTCAAAACTCCTTTTTGATCTATATTGAACTTTTCACCATCCTTTTGTCCCAACAATCTCTGTTTCTTTTGAATGAATTTATCAACTACTTGAGCCTCACCAATTTGTCCATGTAAGTCACTAGTAATTTGAACTGTATCCAATTGTATTCTATCCTGACTTACTGTAGTTGATAAATTCATATCTCTAAATTTTTTTATAAAATTCATTTCATGAATCATTAATGAAGAGATGTGTAAAGATTTTATACTCAGTGCATCAGCCACAACATTGGCTTTTCCTGGATGGTAATGTAATTCAAAATCATAATCTTTCAAAAATTCCATCCACCTTCTTTGTCTCATATTCAATTCCTTTTGATCAAACAAATATTTTAAACTCTTATGATCACTAAAAACATCAAACTTACCACCATACACATAATGTCTCTATATCTTGAGTGCAAAAATAATGGCAGCTAGCTAGATCATGGGTTGGGTAATTCCTTTCATGAGCTCTTAGTTGTCTAGAAGCATATGCTACTACCCTTATGTCTTGCATAAGAACACACCCTAATCCCATTTTTGAGGCATCACAAAATATGACAAATTGTCCATTAGGATTGGGTAAGGCTAAGACTGGTGCAGTGGTTAATCTCTTCTTAAGCTCTTGAAAACTATTCTCACATTCTTCTGTCCACTCAAAAGATTGTCCTTTCTTAGTAAGTTGAGTTAAAGGCATGGCTATTTTAGAGAATCCCTCAATGAATCTTCTATAATATCCTGCCAAACCCAAAAAACTACGGATTTCTGTCACCGTCTTTGGAGGTTCCCATAGCAAATCTGCTTCTACTTTTGACGGATCTATTGACACTCCGTCTTTGAAAATCACATGTCCTAAAAACTTAACCTCCTCTAACCAAAATTCACACTTAGAAAGTTTGGCGTACAATTGTTTATCTTTCAGGATTTGGAGAACAGTTCGAAGGTGTTTTTCATGCTCTTCATGAATTCGAGAATATATAAGGATATCGTCTATAAAGACTACCACAAAATGGTCTAAATATGGACGAAAAATCCGATTCATATAATCCATAAACACTGCAGGTGCATTTGTTACTCCAAGAGGCATCACTCGATATTCATAATGACCATACCTTGTTCTAAATGCAGTTTTCTGTATATCTTCTGTTTTCACTTTGATTTGATGGTATCCTGATCTTAAATCTATCTTAGAAAACAGAGTGGCTCCTCTCAATTGATCCATCAAATCATCTATCCTAGGAAGAGGGTATTTATTCTTTATGGTAAACTTATTTAATTGACGATAGTCTACACACAACCTAAAACTTCCGTCTTTCTTTTTAACTAACAAAACAGGAGCCCCCCAAGGTGATACACTAGGGCGTATGAATTGTTTTTCAAGCAACTCTTCTAATTGTTTCTTCAACTCAGCTAATTCAGAAGGTGACATCCTATAAGGTGCCATTGAAATTGGTCCAGTTCCAGGCATTAAATCAATCAAAAATTCAATCTCTCTGTCAGGTGGCAAACCAGGAATATCATTAGGAAAAACTTCAGGAAAATTTTGAACAACAGCTATGTTTTTCAAGTCGACTTCCTCTTTAGCTTCCATAGAGGATAAGATTAAATATCCTTGAACTTTACCCCAAG